ATGGACTGAAGTAGCTAACGAGTTAAGTGTTACAATGCCAGTTGTTGCGTTGAAAAAGAAGAAAGAGTCACTGATGTCGACCTACAGGACATTGAGGAAGAAAGTAGTGGATTCAGAGACTACTGGATCGGGGTCACAAGATGTGTACTATCCGTCTTGGTTCGCCTATAATGCAATAGATAGGTTTATTCGAGTCCAAAAAACGAAGATACCCTCACTGAATTCAGAAGTAAGTTTAATAGATAATTATCGGGTATATTTCATAATATTAATTAAGAATTCATCCTTACAAATCTTTAATAAAAATATAAATGCAAAGTTAACTAAACAAAAATAACTATAAATCTCTAATCAATATAATTCTGCCATTCTACTGCTCCACTTGTCATACAGTAATCTGCAAACTCTCGCCGAATGTCCTTTGCTTCCTCGGAGGGTTTTCTAGGTTTTTTTACCAGTGGATTGAAAGATGTCATCCCTTGAATATTGTTGCGCCATGTTCCGGGAATCAATTCTCCGTCCTCTTCATAATCAAAAATACCAGTTGGGGCATAGATTTTTCTTGATGTTGCGCTTCTCCGTAGAAAATTATGAAGTAAACAGCATGTCATGCATATTAAAGCAGCCTTATCTGGTTGTAGTAACATAGGTGATCTAAACACTCGAAAAACATGCATAAATATCAAAAACGTTTTCTACAACTCTACGTGCACGACACAAACGATAATTGAAAATTCGTTCTAAACTACCTTTTTGATGATTTCCTCCGTAAGGTTTTAGAAGAGTATTACTCGTGGGAAATGCATCGTCGTCTATAAAAACATATAGAACCTTCTTCAGTCGTCCTAATAAGGGCTCAGGTGGTGGAAGGAGAAGTTCATTACGAATTATTTTGCGATAAACACTCGTGGTAGCATACACACCTGCATCGTTCATTCTTCCTTGAGCACCAACATCAACAAATGTAAAACAATATTCTGAGTTAACAAATGCTATGAGTATAATGCTGAATGACTTCTTGTAGTTGAAGAACTCAGATTCACTGTTAAATGGAGCTTGCAATAGTACATGTTTTCCATCAACTGCTCCTACACAATGTGGAAAATTCCAATCACGTTGAAACCCATTTGCTATTGTTTTCCAATCTTCCTGTGATTTTAGCAGCTGTAAAATACAAATATTTATACTTCACATAAAATGGAACCTATTATTGAATCACTGTTTTCTTAACACAAGATAATAAAAAACAGCTATTATTAAATTATAGAAGTTTTTAGTTTTAGAAAGATTTAAATTAAAAATCTGTAACAATTTTTATACTAAATAGTATAGAATTTTAGATCCAGAGCGGAGCGATGAATGTATTGATTTTACCATGTTTGTTTTTTTTTTAAATTTTTTTTTGTGTCTGTCATCACCTTATAGAACAGTAAAAATGCTTCAATTTTCTTCAATAGTAACTTTTCTGATAGGAGAGTGAATCTATTTGGTACTTTGGGGGGTCAAAAATTAAAATTTCCCAATAGTTTTCACAAGCGACAAGATTAACAAAAGAAAAATTAAGGGAAAACGGGAATTTTCACACAAAATTTAATTTGGTTTTTGGTGTAACTTTAAAACAAATGATCGTAGATATTTGAAATTTTCACTGGTTGTTTATATTTGAATTTTCTATACACTATAACATTTTCAAAATATTTTGATTTATTTTGAACTGTTTAGGGATATTTTCATTTTCCATTTTTTTTTTAGTTTTTTTTCTAAAGATATCTATAAAATTTTATTTGTTGGTTAAGAAAGCTTGAAAATTTAATAGAAGGCTCCTAGTATATTTTTCCAAAGGCAAATGAAAAATATTAAAAATACATAGGCACAATTTTTTTTAATAAGCATTTAAAGATTGAATTTACCTAACCGTATAATAACAATATCAATATAATTTAAAATGTCCTAGACTGACATACCGTCTCCGCTCAGAATCGTTTTTCGTATACAAGGATATTAAATCATTGAATTCAAATTTAACACCATCCATTATACAGTGACCTACTTGTAATCTACTGTACAGTGTACAGCGTAGCGACATCCACTTACCCACCCTTTTTAAATTTTCAAATAAAAATGATGTTATTCTTAGGATGTTGCTGATGGAAATATTTATGAAACAGAGGATCTTATTCAAAACGAAGAAGATTTAGATCATATTAATCTTGAAGAAGATGGTTTAGAAGCTTCTTCACTTGGAGACAGTGGAATTCAAAATGTAAGAAGAGAAAACACTCAAGAAAACAGGAATATGTTCTCAGTCCCACAAAGTCCATTAATGAAGAGAAAACAAAGAAGTGTTGATAATAGCCAATTAGTAAGCAAACACTTGAAACAAGCAAGTGATGTTTTGCAAAGTTTGGTAAAGAAGCCAAATTCACAGCAAAATAAAGATGGCCCTGACTTATATGCACAGCTATTAGCCGAGAAACTTCGTCAACTATCTCCCCGGAATCGTCTACTACTGGAACATAAAATTGATAACATGGTTTTTGAAGCACTAATCCAGGAAATGGATTCAAAAACACAAGGTCGTTTTCCCAGAACTATTAATACTGTTTCATCTCCCTGTTCATCGCTGGAAAGTTATATTTCTCCTGGATCGACATATTCAACACGTGAATTTTCTCATTCGCCTTCTGTGTATGAACAGTCTCCTGGAACATCCTACACATCACATCTCACTGATAATCATGCGTACATACGGGGCGGGTACAGTTTTCCCGATTTTGATAACAAGTGATAACAGCAAACCTGATAAGAACAAAAAAAAAAAGTCAATGCCAACCTCCAAAATTTAGATAAAATCCCAATTCCCGCTTTATTCGCCTGCAAATAAATAAATAAATAAGAAATAGATTTCATACCAATTGCAATTTCTCGATAAATGTATAATAAGAAATTTTATCTTCTATAAATTAACACCCTGATTAGTTAGCTTTTAATCGGTAAAGTTAGGTTTTTATCATTTATTATTTGTATTTAATTCATTGATCATACTTTAATAATATAGTATAATATATACTATATACTTGATAAAATATAATATTATAGTTTATTTTATAAATACCATTGGCGCATCTATCAAAGGATCTTTAGCACTCATTGTCTTTTATTATTGCTATAAATTTTTTAGTTCACTTATTAGAATAAGTGTATATTTTCCAATAATTGATACTGTAATTACCAATCTTAATTACTAAACAGTAACTATTTTTTTATAGGTTGTTTTTAATGTAAATATTGATGAGTTAAAAGCTGTAATGATAGTTGTCTTTAATTTATTATCATCTAACTTTACCTTTAAAGATACATGTCTATTTAATAAAATTCTGAAATTCAAATGTTATTTAATTTCTCTAATATTGTAGTAGAAAGATGTATTATAAATTTGTTGTTATTATTAATATTAAGTACATTTAAGAAGTTTTGATTTATTGGTTAATGTAGATACTTCATTGTATATCGTAAACAATGTCTCTTAATGTACCTAAATAATAAATATCCAAGATATTATTTTATTAAATTTTTAATGTGACTAATATGATGTGCATAGATACTCTATTTAAATTTAAAAAATTGAATGCCACCATTAAAAATTTGAAGAAGTACAGAAAGTTTTTAATGTTAATTATAATATGAAAAATCATTAATACTAGTTATGTAGACATTGATTACTTTTACTAATTGTTTTTTTTTTTTTTTTTTTATTATTATTGGTATATATATTTATTTAGAGTAGTAGCTCAAAAGTTTTTCAAATATTATATTCAGCTCCTCTACTATTTAAAAATGTAGAACTACAGATAATTTTTGTGAAATTTGTAGTGTTAATCCAATAAATAGATTTGCATGAAATTAATTTTAGTTGTCTAGCTATAACTTATAAGTTATAACTGATCTACAGTCTACACAAATATTGATAAAAGAAACTATTATTTATTTATTTATTTGTTTTAAATTATAACAAATATTGATAGGTAGGTATATATAATGTTTAGAAAAAAAATAGTTGCATAATTATGTGAAGTGATTATTGAAGTTATAATTATTAATTATTATTATTATTATTATTTTTTTTTTTGATGATTTTAGTAATTATATTAAATAATTATTAACACTTGTATCTCTTATATATTGGAAATAAACTTAACTTGTAACAGGTATTATTATATAGGTACTATAACCAAATGGCAGATTGCTACCTACCTACAATTGGCAGTTTCTTCTCAAGTTTACCTATTTAATTATAATAACTATAATATTTATTGTACTAAATTGTGTACATTAGTATACATAATACTTTCATGATTAATAAAAAAATACTTGTGTACCTATTTCTCTTAACCAATTATTTTTATAATATAACTATGATGACTGGGTATAAAAATCCAAGATGAGTACATTTGAAAATATTGTTCCTCTTTCATAAGAACCTGTCACTTGAGAAAATTGACTAATGTGTACATCATTCTATCTATTTTGTCCATTTATCATTTCTATATATCTATATAAATTGTTTATTTTTTATTTGATCACTCTATTATTAATTATAAAAACTAATGATTATTTTAAATTATAATTTTATTATTATATCACATTTTTAGTTGTGTTTATATTTTATAATAAAAATAATTTAATATATAATAAATGCTTCTTATGTAAGTATTTAATTTCAATAACATTTCATATTATCTTGTATTAATATGCATTAGGCGTGAAACCATTAAATATAAATGAATAGGTAATCAAATTATAAAAAATTATTACCATGTATTATTAGCAGGTAGTATTTTCAAAAAATGAGTACAATTTCTTTTTCTTAGCACTTATTATTTATTAAAGACAATCCCTCAAAAAAAAGTACTGACCTATAAAAAAAAGTATATCTGGTCTTCAAAAATATAATACCTACCTAGGTATGAGTAATAATATTACATATTATTATTATTATTTTTTATTATTGTATATTTTAATACTTTTATCAAAACTACTTTGAAAAGTCAGTCATACCTAGGTAGGTACTTCATTATTTGATCAATGGTTATTTTTTGTACTTGGATAAAACAATGGTATCGTAAACAGTAGGTATGATCCATGTTAAAGGATGATGTATCATGTATGTTATGGAAGCAAACCTAACTTTGCTGCCCCTTTTAAAGTAACATTAATGTAAGAAATATGAAGATTGTCAACCTGTTTTTTTTTTTTTAGCTGTTAGCATTTTTCAAAATTTTTTGTAATATCAAATTCATTTTTGATAAACATTCCTATGATGAATTGGTATGTACTATGTACTTATATAATTCTGTTATAATAAACATGTTATTTTATTATAATTGTACTTCAATGTTTTGCCACTTGCAGTAATTGCTTCTTTTGCACTTCTGTTGATAAACCCTTTCTAAGTAAATAAATATTAAAATTCATTTAAATTTAAAATCAATGATAAATTAATAATTGGTAAAAATTTAAGTGAAGTATCACTCAGGTTTAACATATCTACTCATTCTTTTTTGCCCTATTTTGGCAATTAATCCAAAATTTTGGAAAAACTATTGAGAATTTTGGAAAATTACCTTTAAAGTAGGTACTTGGCCAACTTAAAATTGTTAAAAACCAGAGTTAAGTATTTGTTAATGCACTATGTTTAAAATAAATACATTAATACATAATCAATTATGTATTTAATAACTTATCTTATTTACATTCTATTTTAATATTTTGTAACGGTTTTTGCAAGACGTTTTTCCCAGTTCCTCATCGCACCCACCCAGCGACCCGCATCGGCCGCATCATCACGAAGTACGTCTATAGGAGCTATGACTTGCTTCTCAGCTCCCATACTGAACGGTCCTTACTACACTTTTGGTCTTGCACGATATTTACTACTTACTACACTTCTGGTCTTGCCACGATATTTGCTACTTAGTACTTACTACACTTCTGGTCTTGCCTTTTTCGTACTGACTTAGTTCGTTTTGTCGCACTTCGTTACTTAAAACTTTGACCATAGGTCATACCACCGACTTAGTTCGTTCTGTCGCACTTCGTCACTTAAAACTTTGACCATAGGTCAT